TAGTCCCAGCTACTTGGGAGACTGAGGCAAGAGAATCACTTAAGCCCAAGAGTTTGAGGCCATTGAGCTGTGACGCTACAGCACTCTAGCAAAGGTAACATAGTGAGACTCTATCTCAATAATAATAATAATAATATTATATACCAATATTATATACACCTGCCAACTCAGGTGTATATGGCTGGCACTTTAGCCACTTGAGCCACAGGCGCCGAGCCTTTTCTGAGTTTTTTCATTTAACTTTTTAAAAATGCATGTGTGTATGTGTGTTTTAAACAATATAAAAATCAGGCTTGGCGCCTGTGGCTCAAGTGGCTAAGGCGCCAGCCACATACACCTAAAGTGGTGGGTTCGAATCCAGCCCAGGCCCGCCAAACAACAATGACAGCTGCAACCAAAAAATAGCCAGGCGTTGTGGTGGGTGCCTGTGGTCCCAGCTACTTGGGAGGCTGAGGCAGGAGACTTGCTTGAGCCCAGGAGTTGGAGGTTGCTATGAGCTGTGATGCCAGGGCACTCTACCCAGGGGGACAGCTTGAGACTCTGTCTCAAAAAAAATAAAAAAATAAAAATCCACTCCAGAGAATTTTAAGCATGTTACATTTAAAGGATAGACCCTCCTTTTTAAAAAGAATAAAATCTTATGTTATGCTTGTAGATGAAACACAAAAATATGGGGCTAAATTAGTGATTCTTGTTTTTGAGTAACCAGTCTTCATAATATGGAGGCCTATGGAATACAACTTGCAAACTTGTGCTTTAATCAGTATATATTTTATTCTAATGTAGATCATGACATGAAAGCCTAATTTTATTTTTCACCCAAAGGTTAATCATCTCAGTATTATTTATAAATAATTCTTCTGTTTATTGATCTTTATCACATGTGAAGTATAAATGTACATATATACATATACACATTATATATATGTATATAATCCATGCACTGGTATATTTCTCTAAGCTATTTAGTGACTCAATTCTAAAATATTACTGAAATATGTAATTAAGTCCTCCATTATTATATTTTCAGACTAAGAGCCTGTGGCTCAAGCAGCTAAGGCACCAGCCACATACACCAGAGCTGGCAGGTTTGAATCTAGCCTGGGTCACCAAATGATGACAACAGCAACCAATAAATGGCCAGGCGTTGTGGCAGGCACCTGTAGTCCCAGCTACTTGGGAGACTGAAGCAAGAGAATTGCTTAAACCCAGGAGTTGGAGGTTGCTGTGAGCTGTGACGTCACAGCACTCTACCCAGGGGGACAGCTTGTGGCTCTGTCTCAAAAGAAAAAAAAAAGGGGGGGGATGCCTGTGGCTCAAAGAAGTAGGGCACTGGCCCCATATGCCAGAGGTGGTGAGTTCAAACTCAGCTCTGGCCAAAAACTGCAAAAAAAAAAAAAAAAAGAAAGAAAACAGTCCTCCATTATTACATTTTCAAGATACTATTACACGTTAGTGCCATCTCATTAATCTTTATTATCTTTGCTCTTTTTCAATGTCTGTTTTTCTAGAATTTGATTTCAAATCTATTTCCATGATATTTGAAATAAATCTATAAATTAATTTAGAAACAGTCCCTCTAGGAAAATTGTGTCTTCCTTTCAAGTCCTGTATTATGATCTTTGATTTTTTCATTATCCACTTTTATGTTCTTTTGTTTTTTGGAGAGACAGTCCCATTCTATTGCCCTGGGTAGAGTGCTGTGGCATCACACAGCTCAGCAACCTCCAGCTCCTGAGCTTAGGCGATTCTCTTGCCTCAGCCTCCCAAGTAGCTGGGATTACAGGGGCCTGCCACAATGCCCAGCTATTTTTTCGTTGTAGTTTGGCTGGGCCTGGGTTTGAACCTGCCACACTCAATATATGGGGTTGGTGCCCTACCCAGTGAGCCACAGGTGCCGCCCTTTATGTTCATTTTTAAAAATTTTTTAAAGCTAGATATTTTTCACCTGTTCCATTTTCTGTTTATTACAAGAGTTTAAGAAACTATTGATGTAGTGTTTTTATCCATCTTATCCATCCATCTTTTATCCATCTTCAAATTTTTAAAACTTTTAAAAGTATATTGTAGGTACTCCTTCATATTTGCCTTAAAAAAAACCTCACCTAATCTCACATTTAACCAATATCATTTTACCTTCATCTTTTCATCTGTAATAGAATTTAATCACATTTGTGTGTGTGTTTTTTTTTTTTTTTTTGAGATAGAGCCTCAAGCTGTCCCCCTTGGTAGAGTGCTGTGACATCATAGCTCACAGCAACCTCCAACTCCTGGGCTCAAGCGAGTCTCCTGCCTC